AACAGGAGATCTATTGGGATACCCAAACCCAAAATTAGTCTCCAGCAGGAGAACTATAGCCTCCAACAGAGTATCTATATGGAAGACTCATTTTGGGTGCGAGGAGAGGCATAACCCAAATCTGAGTATCCTTTTTCCTGGAGACCCATTTACAGAAATGGTTGTCTTTTGGGTCGTGTTGTTCGAGAAGACTAAAATTGGGTGTCGGGTTCATAAACCCGGGGTCCCTCATGGATCGGCTTCCCAGCAAAGGCTCGGCCCAGCAGATGAACGCTACGAACGACACACAGCTCTTGGGCCGGCCCAAGTACCTAAACGATAGGCCAGAAGGGCGGTCCAAATCTCCGATCGGAAGGCCTAGCCGAGGAGGAACGGCACCCACTTCCGACTCCGGCCCGCCTCTCCGATCGAAGCGCTCGCTTCGGTCTTCAGCCCGCCTCCAGACGGCCTCTCCGACCGGAAGGCCTGGCCCAACACCACTTCCGACTCCGACCCGCTTCTTCGACCGGGATGCGCCGAACCCCTGCTTACAACTTCACTCCGGCTTACACAATCAGAGCCGACTGGGACCAACCGACCGGAGACGCCCGCTTGGTAGGGACCAGGAAACAAGCGGAGAAGATAAGACAGGGCACCTAAGTCAACTGCAATACCAAGGACCGTATCCTGTACACCTGCAGGACAGTACCCTGCGATCTCCCTGGCATGGCAGAGCCCAAGCAGTGTTGTAGGCGCCGACATTTTCCCTTACAGTGTTGTGGGCGCCATCAACTCTCATACCAGACAAATACGGTAAGGCTCCCCCACGTGCCTCTGAGGCACCGACAGTGTTGTTGGCGCCGGCATTTACCGTAGAAAGGGAACACAGTAAAACCGCTTACATGCCTCTGGGCATCAACAGTATAGCAGGTACCAACATCTGCCATACTTGAAGAAGACGACGCAACCTCCCACGTGCATCTGGCATTCAACAGTATTGTGGGCGCCTACCATCATCTTGTACCCACCGGCGTGGGCAGCATGACTTAGCAGCGAACGTACTTCCCCCCTCTCACTTGTAAGGCCATCCCTTCATCTATAAAAGGGGATGCGCTCTCTTTCAATAGATAAGTTCATTCAGATCGACCAAGTTCACTAGTACACAACATCAGAACCACCAGGTTCAAACCACGAGCATACGCTCGAACACTTAGCGCATAGCGGAGCTCCCGTCGCTCTCGGTCCCTCTGACCAGAGTCCGACCAAACCTCTTGTATCCCCATCTTTCTCCTCGTTTGTAACCCCACTGCAAACTTCGAGCACCTAGGCTCAGGCATAAAGTCATCGACCGACTTAAACTAGACGTAGGGCACGTTGCCTGAACCAGGGTATAAACCATGTGTCATTGAGTGCTAAGCCACATCCGATCACAACGTACGGACAAAACTACAAATATTTATGTGTTGATCACTTTCTACACCGATAATGGATATTGAACCTTTTGTCTGTAGCACTACCCAAAGGACGAATGAGTCTTATATTTTGGGTCACGGTTGTTGGAGACAGTCTTAGGGGCAACATGCGAGCGCATCCATGAAGAGGAACCGACAATGTGTGAGCACGGGTGCGAGGTGGTGTTAGCATCCTGTGGCACCGCGGTGGCATCGACAAAAATATTGATTAGCTTGATTATATGACCATTATTGTACTTGCTCTAAGGCGCACACACATACCAAAATTCAAACTTTAATTTAAGTTTTTGTGCAAGTAATTTGGCTAACAATTTTGAACTATTATAATACAAACTTTATATGGTTAGATTTGTGATCAAATATACTGCACAACTATCATAAGTTCATAAATATAAATAATATAGAATAAATAAATATTCAAAGTGTAACTTGGAAGACAGGGTTATGCCCTAAAGAATACAGAGATAATACATTAATATTTTGCCTACTCGACACCCTAATTAATGCTATGAAAACTACCCCTACTAAAACTACCTTTGCAAAGTAGTAGTAGTTCTCTAACCCTAAATAACTAACAAAATAATAATATTTATCATACCAAGTAAGTATCATTAGATTCTTCATTAGTTATATTTTCAATTAATCACTGTCATCAATCTTTGCTCTAAGCTAATAGATACTAAAGAGAGAGATACTTGGAATGACTTAGCATTTAGGATGGAGGAAGTCCTAAAGAGACATACATCATGCTGCGAGAGAGGAATACATCGTGAAATATATGAAACTGTCTCTTGATCGAGTCCATGCTAGTGTCTTACCTTTTGCACTATTTAGTAATTAAAAAATCAAGTCAGCTATTGGAGACGCTATAAAGTCTAATTTAGGGCCCAATGCCGAAATTTCAGGGTGCAGTAGCATCAAGGTGCATGTTTAGTTTCCAAAATTTTTCAAGATTCTCCATCACATCGAATCTTTGGACGCATGCATGAAACATTAAATATAAATAAAAAATAAAACTAATTACATAGTTTAGACGAAATTCACGAGACGAATCTTTTAAGCCTAATTAGACTATGATTAGACACTAATTGCCAAATAACAACAAAAGTGCTACAGTATCATTTTCCAAAAAAAATCGCCAACTAAACAAGGCCAAGTATCAAAATTTTATCTCCCCCCAATGCTCTCCTGAAGAGTCGTAACCAAGTAAATTGTCCACACATGACCGATAACCACTCCTAACTGCAGTAAATGGCCATCTACTAGCAGATCAGAGTTGGAATTGTAGCATCTAGAACGTATGGCTGATTAGGGGTTGGAAATAGGGTCAATCTAGTTGATAGCATCACCGGAGTCATTGAGGTTAGATGATATATTTTTTTTTGAATTCTAATAAATATCTTATAAAATATTTATAAATTTTATGGGATCCACGAACCCCACAAACACACTTACGTAGATCTGTCCTGGTAGAAAAGCGTTCCTAAGATATTATAAGAAGTAAAGAGCTGTAGGTGGGTTGAATGCTGAGGTGAAGGAGACATGGGAGGAGAAAGGAGATAAACAAGCTGTAAGTTTACACCCAGGTTAGGCTAGGTTAATAATACAGCCTGCTGGTTGTATGTAAATTACAGCCATTTTTTTATTCTTATGCATATATGAGCTAGCTACTGCTTCCTCCGTCCACAAAAAAATACAATTCTCGTTTTTTTAAGAAGTCAAACGGTTTGAACTTTGACCAAAGTTATATAATTAAATACTAACATTCATGATACAAAATAAATATCATTAGATTAGTTCTAGAATATATTTTCATAAGAAATTTATTTAAAGACATAAATACTAATATTATTTACTGTAAACTTGATCAAATTTAAGCTAGTTTGACTGGCACGTATCACATAATTGCATTCTTTTGTGGACGGGGTAGTATATGAGTGGGCTGATAGATTAGTTGTAAGTTTACATATAACCAATGTCAGTCTCAGTGAGAGTTTTATTTGTATTTAATAGGCTGTCACATAGTATCTTTGATGACATGATAATATTTTTAAGAAGAGAGAAGTGAGTTTAATGGAAACAAAACTTTCTTGGCTCGGCTACCAAGTCAAAAGGAGTCAGAATTAAATATCTATGAAGCAAAAAATAAAACCACACATTAAGAGCGATGATTTTATCCATGTTTCGTTGCATTATATTCGCTCAGTTCGCTGGTCTAAACTGAAAAGTTCAGCCGGCTGGTTCCCCTCTCATTGCACTGTTCATCAAACCAGCCAACAATGTTTCTCTCTCACAACAATTCAGCTGGAACAATGTTTTTCAGCCAAGTTTTAGACCAGCGAACGGGGCCATTATGTTTCTTTGAAACAACGCTATTAAACACTCCATTGAGAATGATCTAAATATATTTGGTGGCAAAACGAAATGAAATAAACAGCCTATATCCAGTGACAAATGGGAATTTGTAGTAGTGGCGGTGATACTTCAAAATAATAACAGTACGAGTAGTTAAGGAAAAAAAATACGGAGATTCCTCCGAAGTGCGCGGTCCTCAACAGGCGCAGCGAAGAAACACAACAGGAAAGGACAATTGCCTGCCCCAGTGCCCTCAGCTACTCAGCCTACTCGTTGTACTCCACTACTGCTTCCTGGGTCGAATAATTTACTGACAACGACGCTTCCTCCATCCACCGGTCCGCCGCGGCACAACAGAAAACAGAAAAGCGAGGCGCCGCTCATGGAACGGCACGGAAATGACGGAAATACACCTACCCACCTACCTGCTCCTTCTCCCCTGCACCTGCACCAGGTGAAAACCACAAGAGAATCACCCGTGACTGTAGGGCCGACGACACATTCTACTCGACCGCTGAACTGCTGTTAGCCGGCACCCGGCACTCCGACTCCGAGGCAGTCGCCGATGCTGTAGGTGTACTTGCATGTTTGGAACTGGGACTCTGGGAGGGAGTAGAGCAGTATTATTATTATATACACATGCCGTACGATCCGCCGGGTGACTGGTGTGGTGAGCACTGAGCAGCTGCTCTTGCGAGTTGCGACGCCCGCGGGGCCGCGGCAGAGCTTCCTCCTCGGTCTCTTTGTATGTCACCGTCTTTCAGGACCATTTCGTTAGTAATGGAAGCGACAGGGCACAAGGCAGCATTCGCAGAAATTGTTGTCTCAGACGTTCAGTAGACATGATTCTAGTGGTGAAACCTCAAGGGATTATCTGAAGACAGGAACTAAAATTTTCATCCCAGACTTGAACCATTGCCACTTGCTGCCTCTGGTGTCATGATGATGAAGCTGTAAGCATGCTCAATAACCTTATCAATGCAAAAGATGATGCATCAGAGAAAAAAGTACTAATACATAACCAGCCAGTCAGCTTTACAAGTTACAAGCAAGATATCTTGGTGCAACTAGGAGAACAAAAAACACTGCAGGGCATCTTTTGCGCTGCTGCAGTAGCCATCCGTGGTGTTCCCCTCAAATTTTACAGCTCGTGCCAAAAGCAGAAATTCCAGATGATAATCCATGCCCTAAGAATCAGTCTGTGGGCGCGTTCTCCTTGATTGCTGTCGATAATTTTGTAGCAGCCTCCTCATTTTTCAACCGGAACAGGTATGTTCGAGCTACGACTGTGCCACCAGCTGATTCACTTGACTGCGAATCCTGAAAATGAAATGCAGGATTTATGGACCTTTTTTTTGTGTTCATTGGGTCAGGTGTTCCAATGGACTATAGTTACTTACTGAAGTATGAAATATCGAAGCAACTGTATTCTTCTGAAGATTCATTTTTATCCCCTTGTAGATCAGAGCATTCAGTAGGATTTTACCAACCTGCTACCAGTTTAAAAACATTAGTATTTTGTCCGACAAGAAACAATATTAAAGCTGTGTAACTATGGCGAAACAATGTTTAAATACATACCTAATTGAATATTTGACACCTAAATTTACCTGGTACCCTTCTCAAATTCCAAATAAATGAAAAACATAAGATGAACTCTGTGAGAGCCAAGAGAATTCGACTTGGTTTGTTTTGCAGGAACAGTAAAGTTTTTTTTGGGGGTTGATGGCACACCGTTTGTGGATTTCGAATATTGGTAATATTCGATCAGATAAAAGACATTTAGGTAAAATTATCGGCATGCAGTCAAACTTTAGACACCTGACCACTAATATAGACAAAATCATAAAAAAATTACATGGAAATAACATTAGTAGATTTTTTAATGAAAAACACTTTCAGATGACTATATTCTCATTAAGTTTTAGCAACAAATGCTTAGAGAAGGTAGAAATTGAAGATATGTTTTGAAGACCGTGTCAATTTCCAAAGCGTCAAATGAAAAAACAATACAGGTAGTAGTTTCAAGTTTGGCATGCAATAGAAGGATAAATATTAACACTAGTACACAGGACTGCAGATAAATGAAGTTTAATTACTATAACCAAACAGGAGAGAACACATACATCGTTTCTTATAACAATGGTAGGAGTAGATTCTTTGGAAGCTTTCTCTGCGCCTTCTTTACTTCTGATAGAGAGCTGACCAACACCAATGTCTTTCCAACCCTTAGTGGCATCATCATGCTGCATTAATGGGAAACACATTTATAGTCAAGTAAAATCTGAAATGACATCCTGAGCAAAAGTTGCACAGTATTAGAGTATCAGAGTCAAAAACACGATATTACAGTGTCCTAGGAAGAAAAGCAATATGTTAACTATATCAGATGGATACCTTCACATACACCTTGCATTTGGTTTCATGAACAACAACTACCCCTTTCTCTTCTGTCTTCTTTACAGAAGGGCTGCTTGGCTTCTCAGGTTCAGCATCTGATAATAATCATGACGAACAACAAATTAAGAGGACAGAGTATTGGAAATTAAAGGGTGTGGAACTTACATTACTTAAAACAGAAGTCAGAGGCATGGAAGATTGAGAGTGAGATGTACAGTATTAGATACCTTCATCTGCGTCAGCTGAAGCTTGAGCAGTATTTTGGTTTCCTGACAAAGCAACAAGAAGAAAGTTATGTTGTCAGCAACAAGAAGAAAGTTATGGTCTGCACTGAAAATAAGGATATCATAACAGTTTGTTATATCGGCATGATCAGGTGCTGCCAATAAACAGCTTAATTACTTTTATCATCTGCTCTTCAAACGATGGTATGCGATATAGGTTGTGCCAGACAAAACCAATTTGTGTATTAATCAAATTGCAACTGCCTTTCTAGATTACAAGTGATGTTTGCAACACTTGCTGCACTATGTAAAAATTGTAGTAACATTGACATTTAGACCAAATCCAGGCAGACACAGCATTGTGCTGCTGAGCCCCAACATAGTGATAACAAAGCGAGATGGATGTCATGCTAATTGAGTAGGGTGGTGTTTCTGAAACAGTAAAACTGGGACCTTTCATTGATATATAAAAAATCCTAAAGTTAAAAGGTACATTTTGTTAAGGAGTCCTTTGGTTTGGAAAAAAAATTGTTTCCAAGACTAATGCACAGGCCAAATTATAAATAGAATGTTGAAAGTGGAAAAGGTAAAATAAGAATAACACAATTTTTGGCTGGTTGATGATTTTGCAATCCTGAAACTTACAACTAAATTGGCAATAAACAAGTACGCCTCAGATCATTCTTCAGATACTCCGAACAGACAAGTCTTACTATATATCTATACAAACATCAATATCTAAGTCCTCATAGGTGTGAAGTAAACAACACAAGAAAAAGATCAGAAAAGGTACCTGAGAGGACTGATTGTTGATTCATCGAAAACAGAGGTGGACTCTGTGGGCTAAAACTTTGAGGAACTGAAGAAAAAATAGATGGTGCATTGGATGTTGGAAAACCATTATTTGCACCAAACTGGAAAGGGTTACTGTTGTCACCGGTTGTAGTCTTCTTGTCACCAAATATGCCATTGTTTGCACCAAACTGGAAGGGTTTGCTGTCACTAGGCGTATCCTTCTTGTCACCAAATATGCCATTATTTGCACCAAACTGGAAAGGTTTACTGCTGTCAACAGCTGTATCCTTCTTATCAACAAATGTGACATTATTTCCACCAAATTGGAAAGGTGGTTTACTGCTATCACTGGACGTGTTCTTCTTGTCAGCAAAGATACCTGGATGTCATTGACAAAATACATATGAATATATAGTAGATGTGTCTGCAAGAAAACTCTGCAGTAAATGTAAACAAAGTATGATATACAAACCACTGAATAGTCGTACCACTGAAATCCGGTGTTTTTTGCTGAGAAGGCGATGAAAAAAGGTTTGGTAAGCTTGACTTCTGAAAAGATGAAGAACTAGAAGCTATAATTGGAGTCTTCTGTTTGTTATCTGAACTTGGCTGTACCAAGAGCTTGCTATCGTCTGCTGCTGGCAGATTAGACTTCTCATCCTTGAGTGAGCTTGGGGATGAAACAACTGTTGAACCTGCTTGATTTTGCCTAAGCCAGTTGACAACATCCTTGAATTTTTCCTAATGAGCAACAATGGTATATGCATATACAATGAGAAATCTGATTAACAAACCACCTAAGAAATGATCAAACAGAAAATAAAGTAAGGAAATACAAGATGACTGCATGCACTAATCAAATGCACACCTTAAATCCTCAACATAAACACACTTTAAAAAGATAGCGTTCCAGATGATTATGTAATCAGAACTAGGATAAAGTTGATGTGATAAACCTCATAAGCAATCAGCAGCAATAATAAGACACAATTATAAAGATTTCCAGAAGATATTTACTGCAGAATTATATGAATGCCATGGGCAGATCCACGTTATAAATGAATCAGTGGTTTCCTGCGAAAGCAATGGTCTGATGCAAGTATCTTTGTAACAATAATGTTATACAATTGATGATCCTATAGCTTTAGCAAGAAAATTGATTGGCGACATCAATTACTTAATTTACTAGATCCACCCTTATTGAATGCAATATATATTAAAAAAAAACAAGTCCATTCACAGCCAGCGAAACTTTACCATGATTTCAGATGCATGCGATAAGTAATCCTTAAGGCCATCCTCCCAAAGTTCAGCGGGATGATTTTGCAGCTGCAATTGAACCCAGCTGCTCAAAATAAAATGGCTTATGAGTATACAGTATGCATTTGATAAGAAATATAAGTGTGACTCTAGGGGATATGAAGCATGAAATGGCATTAATAGGAACAACCAATATTGTTTTCAAGGGTCCTTCAAAAATGCACTAATAACTAATGAACACTCCATGCTTCAAATAATGACACGAAAGCTGACAATCGGTGAAGAAAAGAGGGGTACTGATCAACAATACCAATTAGTTTAGGTCAACAAGCTAAAATCTTTCCAAAAAAGGGTAAGAAAACTGTGAGCATAACAATTGAGCTAGTAAGATGTGCCTCCAACATAGTATATATTTCAACACACAGGAGTACAAGCCAGCAGGTGAAGAACCGTACCTCGCAAACTGGGTATTGAGTGCCCTCACATGTTTACTGGCAGCCTCAGCCCGTCGAGGATCTAAGGTAGCGGGTCCTGCCATCACATGCTGATGGGAAGACTCCGCCCTGTGAACATCAAAAGAGGGTCCGTCCATTACTCTCTTACTTGGTAACTGCAGCATTGTAATAACAAAAATGAATAATGGAGGGGTAGATTCTACTGGAAGATAGAGGAACAGAAAAATTAACCTTTATGCATGTTAGAGAATCACAGGGAATAGAAAAATATTATGAATGGACGCTAGCAGGCGAACTTCCAGTGACTAGATCAGAACAGCCATGTAGATAATGTGCCAGCACTGATAAGCAATAGTCAGGCTTCAATTAAAAGTTTTAGAGCTGTGGTCATTCTCTTTGTCCGATTAATCAATAGGGTTGAGTTATCAAACATTCAAGAATACTCACGATTAAGAACTACTCCCTCCGTTCCAAATTATAAGTCATTCTGGCTTTTCTAGATAAGGTTGTGTATCTAGAAAAGCCGGAACAACTTATAATTTGGAATGAAGGGAGTAGTTTAGAGCAATTAAGGGACAATCCTGTGATGTATATGCTGCTACTTTATTTCCATCTTCTTTCCAGCTGAAAGTAATGCTTGGCTCTAGTTCTAAATTCCATCACTCAAAATACCAGTACATACTGCAGAAAAAATCCAACGAAGAGCATTAAAACGCCCTAAAGCTTCTAGGTGCACAGTAACCACGAATTTGAATACATGATTTTTGACCAGCTCCACAGCGAATGACCTTCATGTTCCCCCAAATCAAACTCGAAGACACTACGTCACTACCCAACCTTGCCAGCTACGTGTTACTTTTCACCAATTAACCAGATTGAATCAGCACCCGAAGCCGAAAGCTAATAAACAGAATAAGCTTTTCCACACCCGCAAGAATGCAAGATCCACATCTTTTCACTACACTAGGTGCCCCCAAACAAACAAATAGTACACATCGCCGTGGAGAAACGCGATTCAGACGGGGGAGAAATGGACGAGAGCGTACATCGGGTGCGGCGGGGTCGGAGGTCGCGGCGCGCTTGGCTCCCCGCGTCATCATGCCGCCTCACCTCGCACTCCCCAAACCCTAGCCGCTGGAGCCGGGGGAAGCAAAGCTGCAGATTGCGGAGAAAAGCGGGGAGCTAGTAGACTAGTAGGCGAGTGGGACTGCGCGGAAGCGGAGAAGGGCAGGACCGTAGGAGACTAGGACTAGGAGTGCTGCTGGCTGGGTGAGAGGCGGAGACTAGGCAGTGGAATCGAAACACCGGGTTTGGGAAGGAGACGGGACGGCGGTGAGAGACGGAGGGTGGCTGCTGGCTGGGTGGGGAAGCTGGCGGCGCGGCGCAAGCGCAACAACCAAAGCGAATCGCGTGCTGGTTGTGCCGCCCCCACGCGTCAGCTAAACAAAGCCGCAACCCGAACGTGTGGGCAACTTGCAACCTCGGGTGGGGTCCGAATGGGGAAATTTCTGAAAGCTATTTTTTGCAAGCCAGCCAAATTGTTTGATCAGGACGTGTTTTCGCTTACCGCTCTCTGTCGTTGTTTTCGACCACCGATGCGTAAATTTGTATTTACGCGTCTGGCTCGGATGGTGTGCTCAGAGAATACAAGGGTTTATACTGGTTCAGGCGGAACGTCCCTACGTCCAGTTCGTTGTTGCTCGTGTTACCGGCACTTGGTTTGCACTACGGGTTACAAACATGCGAGAGAGGGAGATGATTCCAAGTCTCTGGTGGAATGAGTGAACGGGTGTTGAGAGCTCGCTTGCTGCTCAGCTGTATGTTCGTGTCGTGCTCTTGTGTTCAGATCTCTCCCCTTTTCATGGGGCGTCCTGCTTTCCTTTTATAGGCGAAGGAAAAACGCGGGTTACAGAGGAGAAGAAGAAGAACGAGAGAGAAGAAGGCTTTTAGGGTTGCTAGGTTCTTCTTCTCCTTCATACGGTCCCGCCGATCCTGTAGATGTCAACAGGGACGGCTCTATGTCACGACCCTGTTCGTCAGTGGCACCATGCGCAGGCGTCATCTGCCGGTCATGACGCTCCACTCCGTCTTGGCGGACGTCGTGGTGAATCGACGCGCTGTCGTCCGTCCGTCTGAGTATTATACTGAAATGTAAGACTTAACGCACGCCTGACATCGTTTCTTGATGTGAATCCCCAGGTATGGTCCGTTGTGGTCACGGGTTACATCGAGGCGTGCTAGCCTTTTCTCTAGTATCAAAGTTTTAACCCAGTCCCATACGCTTGAACCTAGAGTGGTTGGTGGCGGTATGGGTCCCCGTCGGACGAGACGGAACCTGCGTCCTCGAGGTCGGGCGAGACGGAGCCCGCGACCTTGGGCGAGATGAAAACCGCGTCCTTGGGGTCGGGCGAGACGGAGCCCGCACCCAAGAGGTCACGCGAGAGACAAAGCCCGCAGCCTTGGACGAGACAAAACCTACGTTCTTGAGGTCGGGCGAGACGTAGCCCGCACCCAAGAGGTCGAACGAGACAGAGCCCACGGCCTCGAGGTCAGGCGAGACGGAGCCCGCGGCCTTGAGGTCGCGCGAGACCTTTTAATACGTCTCGAGCTATCCGACAAAGTCAGCGTGGGCGCTAACTTCCTTGTTTTGGATATTCCTAATATCGATACTCAACACACTCTCTCTTTTTTAGCACTGCAATGGTATAAGCTAGTTACTAACTCTAAGTCAATTTTCTCAATAGTGCTAACTTTCGACACATAGCTCATAACATAGATAGCTTGATACGACACTCTCACATGATATTAGAATATGTGCACGAACCTAACGATAAGAGCTAGTTTTTTCTCTCCCTTCTATTGAAACATGAAAAACAAATACTTAAAACTAGCTTACGAGGGCATTGCGAGTGCCCTTAGTTCACCCTCTACCGAATACAGGACAGGCAGAGTGTTTGGGAAGGAGTCGTGATTTTAACCTACACAGCAACTCTGTGTGATTGATCCTTCTGATTACATTTGTGCTCATAAAGCAGAGCGTTATCACAGATTGGGTAAGCAATTGTGCTCATGTTTGGAATTCTCTGAAGTACTAATAGCTAATTCCCTCTAACTGGATGTCTCAAGACCCGGAACGTGAAAATGTAAAAGTTTCCAGTAAACATTTTTGTCAATGTGCAATACCACAGAGTCCTCACAATCAGCACATTTCCTCAACTAATTCTTCCATCAAGTAGCAGAATATACCACCCTCCACGTCAGAGCTCAACAGTTCACGTTCATCTTCTCTGAAACATCTCCACCGTCCAAGCCGCTCGATCTCCTCCGCCTTCTGATCTGACCTCAGCGCGCAATGTCGCCCATCCAGCCACGCCTTGGCAGTCTCCAGCAATGACGTCTCGAGATCCGAACCGTCCGGTCCTCGTCCTCCAGCGTGGCACGAGGACAGACCTTCACGAAAGAAATCTTCTAGAAGCTTCTTGAAGCAGTGGGCAGCACACGGCGAGCTCGCTTCCGCGAGTCCTGGCAGGTGCCGCTGTACGGGCCCATATCCAGCGTCTTCATCGGCTTCCGCTGAGTCCAGTTCCCCGACGTGGCAGCTCGTGTCATCCGCGGTCGTGGTGGCGTCGTCCACGTCGGATGTGTCCAGCTCCGCCAGCTGCTCGAATCGCCGGATTCTGTCCAGCAGCTGCTGGCTTGCCCCTGTGGAACAAAATTTTAGACGTTAGCTAGGTAGGGTGACTAGTGAATCTGCGAATCAATTGTATGAGTTGCCAAAAAAAAAAAAGAGGTTGATTGAGTACTAATGCTTTCTCGAAACTAAAGTGATTAGCGACAGCTGAAAAGGGCACTAGACGGTGGCATCATGAGTCGCAACAAAACACATGATCATCGTAAAGGTCCCGTTCGCTTCGCTGAAAAAATAAGTTGAAACACTGTTCCGGTTGATTTGTTGTGAGAGAAAAACACTTTTTCAACTAAAAAATAAACTGAAAAGTACGGATTATAAGACAGACGAACAAGGCTGTGGCTTGTGGCCATGGCCTTTGGGCTCTGTCGGCTAAATTGTTGGCTTCTTGGGTTGCCCAAAGAATATTAGCTGCTCGGCAACCAAACAAATCTTTAGGCACCGGCCAGAGTATTATGATGATATGATCAAACTCTCATATGTCTTGTCATGAATTCATGATGAACGCGCACAAGATTCGCAACAACCATTTGCTCAAAAAAAAAAAAAGATTCGCAACAACCGAAACAGAACTCAAACACACGGGCTAAATCCATGCACATTTCGATCCACGACGCACGGGGAGCTAATGTATGATTGAACTACTTCACCAAAGTAGGCAATCATATCCAAAAACCAAAAAAAAAAATCTAGGAGAACGACTCGAACTGACAGGTTGGATACGTTCTTAACTGCACCGTTTTCAGTGTCTAGGAAGCTTATTGTTCTACTTCTCTGAAAATATAGTATATCATCTCTATCTTTTTTTCGAGTCAAAGGCTACTTGTATAGTAGATGTATATATGTGGAGGAGCTAGAGTCCATCAGGCATCAGGTCAGGTGGCGGACGGTATACCTTGCAACCACTGGCCCTAAGCTGACGATGTATTTAATTGCCAAAGCGATTATTCTCTCGTATCCCTTTCCCTTTGCACTTTCCGATTTGGACCGGAATATCATGATTCATGCATTGTAGTATATATAGTACTTTATTTACTTCTGGCCGCATTGCCTATGGAAATCAGATTTGTTTGTTTGTTTAACCTGACAGTGCCAGTACATGTACAAACTCGCACGCAACCATCTTTATTCTTCGAGCTCCAATTATACGTTCCGCTTGGCTGCTATCAACGTCGCGTCTTCTTGGTTCCGTTTGTACACTACCTGCACACACCACTCTTTTTTCCCCATGGAGACCTGCTCGCTGCACTGTTCTCCAACGGTTCGCCCATGCGTGATCTCTTTCTTTCCTTGGCCAGATAAAGAAGCTAAGGGTCGACAGCGACGGGCTACCGACATGGTCGATCTAAACAGTAACATGCCAACGGGTCGTGCGCGTCCAAGTGCACGCGTGCGTGCTCGCAGTTTCCCGGCCTAGATTGATTGACGAGGAAAATGTACGGGCGGTCCTCCAACTTGGCATTGGGGGTGTCATCCAAATCTCTCTACTTTTAAAATGATAATTCTGTATTCATGAACTTGGCTTCGGGTGTCATTCAGGTCCAAATGAGTTCGGATGAAGACAAACTTTATATCCAAATTGTAGCTCTCGACATGATCTACAGCTTTGTAGTTGTTTTTTTTTGAATTGAAACGGTTCAGGGTCCCAAAATACTGTGGTAAGTGTGCATATTTTGAAATTTGAAATTATCCATCAATCTCGGATGTTGACATGGTCTATATGAAAGTTATAGTTATCAATACGATCTAAAAATTTATAGTTAAAAAGTTTTTTACTTGAAGTTGTTTAGTGTCCCAAATATGTATTCTAAGTTTATAGAGTTTGAAATAAGAAACTTAGAACACATATTTGAGATACTAAACGATTTTAAATAAAAAAACTTTTAAACTACAAAGTTGTAGTTTGTATTGATAAATATAACATTCATATAGACCATGTCAACATCCGAGATTTTTTGATAATTTTAAATTTTAATTTTTAAATTTCAAAATCTATAAACTTACAATAGTATTTTTGACCCTAAACAGTTTTAATTAAAAACTTTTCAACTACAAAGTTGTAGATCATGTTGAGGGCTACAATTTTGATATAAGGTTTGTCTTCATCAGAGCTCGTTTGGACCTGGATGACACCCGAAGTCAAGTTCATAGGCCTCGTTCGCTTCGCTGAAAAAACAAGCCGAAACACTGTTCCGGCTGATTTGTCGTGAGAGAGAAAACACTGTTCCAGCTGAAAACGGAATATAAAAAATACGGATTATAAGACAAACGAATATAGTCATAGACCCAGAATTAGTATTTTGAAAATAGAGGGACTTAGATGGCACCCTGACTAAGTTAGAGTGGTTCAGCTTGACTGCTTGACACGAGGCAGCGAGCAGCGGGAAAATTGCTGCTATCACGGCCCTGTATTTCGAAGTACACACTTTTTTTTTTTGTTTTGCAATTTGCAAGTTCGAAACGTATGCACACGAAACAGAGCAGCTCAACTTGCATGGCGCTAACGACGGAGTAACTGAGTCAACGACGGAGCTCGCTTCACAATGGAGCCAAATGGAAAGCAGGAACTTACTTCGGATGTTGGCCAGGCTTCGCTCAAACGTCGGCGACGTGCCCTCGTCGTCGCTGTGGCCATCGCAGCCGCCGCCGTCGTCGTTGCAGTCGTCGTCTCCGTCCTCCTGGCTTTGGAAATCCATCACCGAAACTGGGCTCAGCCGCTGCTCCTGCTCCCCCTCCTCGTCCAGGTGGCACGTTGCCTCGCACTCGCATCCCTCAACCTTCGTTTTGTCAGTCACGGAAAAAGAATAGTAGTTGCGATCAGTCAGACATGAAAATTGCTAGCTAAGATCAATCAAGAGCAGAAATGCTTGTGAGAAAGATAAACGAATTGATCAAAGGTTCAGAACTGTTTCTTTCAGGGAAAAGAAGAAGAAAAAAACACTAGAATGGTGAATTCCTACCACTGTTTCATGGCTCCGACGGCCGACGCTGAGACCTGCGCGATCGCCACAGGCCTGGCGACTCTCCCGACCCATGCGCCGCGGAGACGTTGCCGCCGGCGACGACGCTCCATCCCTCCTTCCAGAACTCGCGGCAGTGGCAGAGCAGCTGCTGGCCACCGGCCTGTCCATCTCCTCCACCTCCCCCTTCGGCTTCTTCCAGAACCCCACCACTCGCAGCCTCGTCGAGAGGCTCCTGCGGAGCGCGGCCGCGGCCGCGGCCGCCTCCCCCTGTCGTGCCGGTGCCGACGGCGGGCGGGACAGCGCGGCCCTCACCGCAGCCGAGACCCTGGCGATGACGTCGCCGTTTCTCCTCCGCCTGCAGCCGGCGCTCCGGGTCCGGGGCTCGGTGGCGAGGTGCCGCGGGTAGCAGCCGAAGCCGTCGCGGGAGAGCTCCGCGCTGTACTCCAGCTCCAGCCACTCCTTTAGCATCAGCGGATGCCTCGGCCTCCCCTCCAGCTCCACGTTGTCCATGGAGTGCAGCGGTTTCTTGCACGGCCGCACAACCGAACTGCACCGGGGTTGCTCGGAAGGAATAATTTGCTTGCGCGCCGGAAAGACAAAGGAGGACCTGTGTCCTTGCGAGGTTGGGAGAGCAGAGACGAAGACGGAAGCGCTAGTACTCGGCGACTGCCTGCTAATGTATGGCCGGATGGGGTTAGGACACGAACTGGACTGTGCTGACAAGTGAGTGAACTCTGAGGTGGAAGCTGGATCGCTGGAAGCAGGAACGAGGTGGTGGAAGCAGGAACGAGGTGGAAGCTGGATCGCTGGAAGCAGGAACGAACCCGTTTGGAGGGGCTTCTCCCGGCTCGGGCTCCGTCACTGTTCATTTTTTCAGTTCATTTTCTGTCTCAAAATTCAAAACGGCTCCGTGCTAATATAAAACGGCTCCGTGCTACAGTACTGCTACAAAACGGCTCCGTGCTGCAGTACTGCTACAAAACGGCTCGGTGCTAATCAAAACGGCTCCGTGCTACAGTACTGCAACAGTAGTGGAGCCGGAGCCCGTGGAAGCTACGCCAAACACAGCGTGAGGAGCGTCAAGTGGCAGAGGATGTCTGCGCTTTGTGCTTTTCAGTCCTCTCTCCTCTGTTAAAGGAGCCGCATGCTTGCACGTTGTTATTATAAAAAATGGTTGCAGATAAACAGGGCCTTTTTTTTTAGGGGAAGATAAACAGGGCCTGCATCGGATGCTTTGTATCGTTTTCAGGCCGAATTTGTCGTGTTTGCTTGACTGGGTTCAAGAGCTCGTCTATGCAGACGCAATAAATCAGAATGACGGTCTGATCCAGCATCCATTTCTCTAACTGTCGGTCGAGGAGTCGAGCGTAGGTAAATGAATGGTGCGATTGTTTAGAGCCATTTTAACTCTAGCTAAACAGGACTACTCGAGAGAGAAAAACTGGAGTTAAGGGTTAACTCCAACTATTTTGTGGAGCACAAGAGATACTCCAAAAAAATTCTAGTTTTCTTTTGAGCTACTCCGTAATAGATCTGGTGGAGCATAATTGATTTTGGTGCGGTGGAACTGTTTCAAACAAACCGTTAGTAGTTAGTAGTAATAGCTACTTTCACTTTTTTACTTTACTTTGACATTAGTCATCTCAAACTTACTGCCCCAAATCTACAGTGTAATGCCAGTTTGAACAGGAGAAGAATCAGGTTACAGAATTGTCATATGGACACAACTGTACATAAACCGAGCCCCTCGATCTTAACTCATTGTTGAATCCTTAGGAAGTTGAGGCCTCTTTGTTTCCAAGCTCCTAAACTATTTAGGAGCTAAAAGTTTTAGGAGCTTTTATGAGGCTGTCAAAATCTCCTAAAAAGTGTTTGGTTTTATCTCCTAAAACTGACTAAAAGCAATAAATGCACTAGCAAATAGATCATGCATCCCTCCTCTTTACCCCTGCTCCTTCTCTACTCCCGTCGTGGCCCTCGCTCTCTTACTCCTCGCCGTCTCCGCGGAGGTGGCCATCTCGACGGATGGGAGCGTGAGCAGCTCCACCACGAGGTCACGCCTTCCCCCACTGGTGGGAGCACGGGTGGTGGCAGGGGCCGGCAGATCCGGCGGTGCGAGGGTCGAGGACGAGGAACGGCGGGAGGAGGTCAGAGGGGCGATGCCGACTCGGGCCCCATGGCGGCGGGGAAGACAGAGGGTACATGGAGGCGAGCAGCGCCGCCGCCATCTCCAGGTCCAGCATGAAGGAGCGGCGGACCGGTTTGGGGCCTGCGGATCCGGTGAGGTGAGGCCGCAGGCGTGGGCGGGCGGGGCGCGGGAGACGGATCCGGCGAGCGCCACACGGGAGAGGAGATCCCGACGGGTGGCGGCGGCGGGGATCTGGCGGGGATCCGTCGGTGGAGGGTAGGGGCCGCAAGAGGGAGGAGGGGGTGAAGCTCCTAAGGTTTTTGCCCCTCCTAAAGTTTTTAGAAACTTTTAGGAGGAGGTGTTTGGTTTTTTAGGTAAATTCTATCCATATTTTAGCTCCTAAAACTTTTAGGAGGGGTAACCAAACAGGGCCTAAATCCAACAAAAATCTTATGCCAATCCTACAATCCAAAGGAGGCCTTAAATTGTACAACCCCATACCCCAGTTTCAGACAAGACGCAAAGTGCGGGGCGAGCATGAGGGCCGAGTGGAGTTGCGTGCCTGCATGGCATGGTAGAGAGAGAGGCGGGCACATGGACGAGCGTGCAGGTGTTGCAGGGAGAGTATGGCCACCTCTTAGATACCCGTGGAAACCTGTGAAGAAAATTATGTGCTATTTGGTTGGATCAAATTTCCCTATAAATGGTTCATGCTGCCATCTAGTTATAGTAAATCACATTTGGTTGGTTTTGGTTGTAATCAAATCACAGCGTGATCTTATACGGTCTTTGTAAAGGCGATTCCACCCACCACACAGAGTTATGCGATCCCATTGGCACGCGACTCCCATTTCCGTGAGGTTGCCCAATTGAATCAAACAAATCAAGTAAACAACCATCACATTCTCGATAGCGCTGTGAACTGATCCCATTTACCTTTTGTGTTAAATGTCCTTGGTCCAAACAACACCTTAGTTGCTTGAATATCATGGACATATGTATTCTTGTATTATCATCCTAGCATTGAATAGACTCTCCCTTGCACTTGCTCTGCAACTCCAAATCTTCTTTTCCGTCACCCCTGTGGCCAGAGGCTGCTATTCCACAACCTAGCTTTGTGCCCTTCGAGCGAGGTTACGGTGGTCACATCCAATTTCTTTCTCCTATAGATAACCATAGCAGTCAGCCAAGATAGAGGAAGATCTGGGGGAGTGTTTGGATGCCGGCGACTATTAGCCACGCCTAAAGTGCGGCATAGTGTGGCGCACCACATTTGTGGTGTAGTTTTTTAGCGCCACACTACATGGCAACTTTTCCACGTAAAATTCTATGGCTGTCTCAACTACGTAGCCGTCCAAATAGGTACGTCAGATTCTTATGGCCCGCCACCGCTGTGGCGTGACGGTGTGTGGCTGCAAACCAAACGGCCAACTCTCGAGTGCCTAGGCTAGGAGGGCAATAGCTAGGGTCAAGCCTAAGACATTAGTAATCTTTTATGTAGATGTCAACAAATTCAGCCCAAGCCCGCCAGGCTTCCAGCCTGAGAGCTAAGACAAAGCATAGATAGAGGTACTGATGTTTAGGAAATTTTTGTTCAGCTGGAGCCCAGTTCGAAATATCTATTTTATTATATTATATTTTCCATAAAAACAACGGCGCTCTTCTCAAAGGACTTGATGACTTATGATCCTGGGGGGAGGCAGGGGCTGGATTATATATCCCTGAGGGTCCAATGTGAGCCCTTAGATCAAACCGACTTAAGCAATGGCCTAGATGCGTCCTCAAAGGTAGTGGGAAACTGACGTAGGTAGCTGGCTGATAGGTGGGCCCGATGGGGTAGGGTGGCCCCACTTGGCAGCCTCTCAGCCTCCACTTCGTCATGAAGTCTTCCCGAGTCTTCTGGAACCTTCTGGAGTTGGTTTCACGGTGGAATTCTGATTTTTCCTTTGACGTTTAGATCCCTCTTGATGGTTTTCTAATTGTGGGGGTATGGCCCCTGGTATTCACAAGACAAGACATGGGCCACACCATCAGAGGTGGCCTAGTCCGCAAGATCAAGGCGTGCACGGCGCTGCTCGACGTGCACCGCAAGCTATTGTATAGTACCAAATATGATACTTTTCTTATAACCCTACCTCCTCCAGAGTATATAAGGAGAGGCAGGATCCCCTAGTGGATAGATCGATACATCTCAATGCAATATATCAGAATATAGGATGTAGGTATTACGTCATACTGACGGCCGAACCTGTCTAAATCTTATGTCTTGGTGCTTGTATTACCATCTCGCTCTTGATCTCGCTCACCTCTTCGACAAATCTACCATCGTGGGATACCCCTCGGTGGACTGCCGAGCATCTTTTGTCGACAATTGGTGCTCTAGGTAGGGGTGTGCGCTTGATCCCATGGCGAGCCAGATGGACCTTAAATCAACAACGCGTTCTCGTCATCCATCTCGTGGAGATCCATGTCGGTCCACGACGACGATTCATCGCTGGCTACACCAGCCCCCGCGATAGCAGATCCGATCTCAGAACCACCTCCAAGGTCGTCTTCACCAACAACTCACCGCCCGCTAGGTGCTCGCCGTCAGCACCGACTAGATAACGCCATACATCGCCGACCAGATTTTCTGTCTAAAGCTAAGTCACGTTTTAATATTCTTCTAAATATTCTCCGATCTCCGTATATCGCCATAATGTTTCTCCGAGCTATTTTCTCCATGTTTGTTCTCCAAACGATTTTCTGAACCCCCGAACAGTCAAGTTGATGCTCGGATGTCCGCAGAGACGGCCCTGTCTCCGGCTCCTCCCTACACGTGCACGAGCGTCTGCCCTCTGTGTTATGGGTGGTCGGCAGCAGCTCCTTAGCGACGCTTGTTCCTCCTACACGTGCACGGGCTCCGCGCTCGACGTTATGGACTATGGGCTAGCTAGGGCTGGAGACTCAGCTACACACTAACTGGCCGGGCGGTTTATATTAAATATAATTACATTTTCACACCAATTGATCGTCGAGCTACATATGCTATTTCATCGCATTGCTGATTTTTCTCCGAAGTTCATATATTTTTACATCATGTACTACCCGTTCTACATATTTGTATTGTAGGATCATCGTCCAGGTGATTCGATCACCTGGTGCTTGGAGTTCTCCACCGATCAACTGGTCGGACCGCTAGGTTCATGGACTTTGTCACCGACCAGTTGATCGGACTGTTCACTGGTCGTTTCTACTCAATGCTCACTTCACCGCCGACCAGTTGACTAGACTGTTCATCGCTCATGCTTCATCCCCAGCTATGTCGGTTACTCCTTGGCCCTCAGATTCTTCATGCTCGAGGACTAAGTCGGCACACTTCACCTCGCTCCTCGGTGCTCAG